GAGGTTGCGGTGAGCCGAGATCGCGCCATTGCACACCAGCCTGGGTAACGAGCGAAACTCCGTCTCAAAAAAAAAAAAGAAATAGTGTAAGTGATGCTGAATGTAAGGTTACAATATGAACTTTGTACACCAATAAAAATGCTCAATTTGGCTGGGCGTGGTGGCTCATGCCTATAATCCCAGCACTTTGGGAGGCTAGACTCCTTGAGTCCAGCAGTTTAAGACCAGCCTGGGCAACATAGACCTCATCTCTACAAAAAAAAAGTTTAAAAAGCAGCCAAGTGTAGTGATGCATACCTGTGGTCCCAGCTACACAGGAGGCTGAGATGGGAGGATCGCTTGAGCATGGGAAGTAGAGGCTGCAGTGAGCCCCAGTCACGCCACCACACTCAAGTCTGGGCAACAGAGCTAGACTCTGTCTCTAAAAGAAAAAAGATAACTTATTAATCATAAGTTACCGTAAAGAAGGTGCCAAGTCTTACACTAGGATAGGATATTTGCAACATGTGTGGTTAGTCCCCACTTATCTGCAGTTTTGCTTTCTGCAGCTGCAGGTAGCCGCAGTAGAGTACAAGATATTTTTAGGCTGGGTGCGGTAGCTCACGCCTGTAATCCCAGCACTTCGAGAAGTCCAGGTGGGTAGATCACCTGAGGTCAGGAGTTCAACACCAGCCTGGCCAATGTGGCGAAACCCTGTCTCTACTAAAAATACAAAAATTAGCTGGGCGTGTTGGCAGGTGCCTGTAATCCCAGCCCCTCAGGAGGCTGAGGCATGAGAATCACTTGAATCTGGGAGATGGAGGCTGCAGTGAGCCGAGATCGCACCACTGCCCTCCAGCTTGGGCGACAGAGCGAGACACTGCCTCAAAGAGAAAAAAAACAGGATATTTTGAGAGAGAGGCTATATTCACCTAACTTTTATTGTGTTATATTGTTTCAGGTGTTCTATTTTATTAGTACTTAGTGTTATTCTCTTCCTGTGCCTAATTTGTAAATTAAACTTTTCTCATAGATGTGTATATATGACAAAAAAAAAAAAGTGTATATATAGGGCCCTGTACTATCCGTGGCTTTAGGCATCCGCTATATGGTTTTGGAATATATGCTCCATATATGT